TTTTATTCTTTGAGCTGTTAAGTTAATTTCCCTTTCTCCTCCTCATAAAAAAAATGTTCTTTTTCTGGTTTCTGAAAAACTGTTTTGTAGGACCTGTCAATCTGAGTATATTTTGCAAGATGGACAGCATGAACAGCTTTTGGCAATTGGGTGATGAGCTTCGAGGACAGTCGAAAGTCGCAGAAGATCAAAAATGGTTTATGGCCGCTTCAAAGTTGGCTGAGCAGACAAGGGTAAAGGGCGAGCGTATGAATAACCTCGATCTTTCAAAGGGCCCAGCTGAGACAAGGGCAAGGGATAAATTTGGGTTCCAGGAAGATAACAAATTTGAAAGCCTTAACTTTAACATGCTGAGCTTGGACTCTAAAGTAAATGAAAATGTGAGCAAAAGTTCCTTTAGGAATGGTATTTATAACATGAATGCAGTTTACCAGAAAAACAATGCAAGTGTTGTGGGAAACATGACTGGTAACAAGTACAGCAACAAAGAAATCAACAACAGCAATATCAACAACGACTCTGCAAATACAGTTGAAAAAAGGTTCAAGACATTGCCAGCAACCGAGACGCTCCCGAGAAATGAGGTGCTTGGAGGTTACATCTTTGTGTGTAACAATGACACAATGCAGGAAGATTTAAAGCGACAATTATTTGGTAAATTTCATTTATTCTTATCTTCCTTAAGAATCTGTTTTAGATTTGTAATTTTTTTAGTTTTTTAAATAAATGTTTTAGATTTGTGGGTTATAACTTAAGGTATAGGTTAAAATGACTGATTCTTAGCTTGCATTCTCTGCATTTGCAGTCTTTACAGAGATAATAGTTCATGTAAAGGGATCCTTAAGTTTATGCCAGTGTTGAGGAATACCTAAAGGGGTTTGAATGCATAAAAGTTATAACTAGGAATAAAATACATTGGATGAAATGGTTTATGATGTTTGTACATATCCCTCTACCCATGCAACTTAATTAATGGAGTTACCAATAAATGCAGATTATGCTTATAAATTATATAGTTTATATTCCTTCTTTGACACATTGAGAAATTTGTGTATGTGTTAATCTTTATATCTATATGCTAGGTTTACCTCCAAGGTATAGGGATTCTGTTCGGGCAATAACACCAGGCTTGCCTTTGTTTCTCTACAACTATACAACACACCAACTGCATGGCATTTTCGAGGTTTGTTCTCAAACTTCCTATATATTGTATTCATTCATATGTTTTGGCTGCAATAATCTTGGTGGTATAGAATGTATGCTGACTTGGACTATCATCTTAGCTTATTATTTGATCCTTTTTCAATTGCTTTTGTGCAGGCAGCAAGCTTTGGTGGTTCAAACATTGATCCAACTGCTTGGGAAGACAAGAAATGTAAAGGCGAGTCGAGATTTCCTGCTCAGGTAGAATTTGTAATGATAAAGAAAGCTTTGTTCTTTTGGTTTTTGGCATTTATCTTCTTTTCGTCTTTGTGTTTGAGAGCCATTTATCCAATTTATTGATGGAGACTCTCCCCTTCCGTTGTAAATAATTATTAGGTAAGGATCCGCGTTAGGAAACTCTGCAAGGCTTTGGAAGAAGATTCCTTCAGGCCAGTCTTGCACCACTATGATGGCCCCAAGTTTCGTCTTGAGCTGTCAATTCCTGAGGTATGGCACCTAAGTCACTGGTTGCATTGTTTTCTTGTTTCAGTTAAATTTTACTGGCTTCATACAAACCTATTTGATGATTTTTCAGACCCTGGATCTATTGGACCTATGCGAACAAGCGGGCTCTGCAGCATAAGCTAAATGTTGGCAGCAAGATGCTGATGTAGTAGGTTTTTTGTGGTGCATGTCAGCTGTGTGCTTTCAACAGCTTTTCCATGGAGCGCAAGCTTGGGGGTTAAGTCTGGTATTTACTTTATCTTGTGGAGTTATATAGTGCTTAGCATGAGTGAGCCTGCTGAATAAGTGAGTGTGTCTCTTGTGAAGATACTTGTTTAAGTTGTACAACATTTGAGAGCTCGGGTTTTATGATGATGAAAAATGAAGTCGCAAGATGTAAAAGAGAAATGACTGCTCTGTAATGTAATGTAGGAGTGGTAAAACCTCTGAAGGTCAAGTCCTTGATGCGATGCGTCTCTAATCTATTTGGGTTGTTCCTTGTGTTGGTTTGGTCAATTTGGAGAGCTTCTACCATCTTCTTCTTTACTCATATATTAAAAAGCTCAAATCCGGCTTGCTTTTGTGATTTCTATCAATTCTAGGGCAACAACATAGATATTGGTATACTTGTAAGGGCTTTTGCGGGAAAATCGAAAAAATGGTGCATAATTATGATAAGCCAAGGGATCCAATGTAAACAAGAGAAAAAGCATCCGATGCAAAAGCACCAAAAAGCAAATTTTGCTTTTGGGATGACAATTTGCCCCCCGAATTGAACTTGAGAAGAGAAATAATAATATTATTAATAAAACTAGTTAGTGATATTTATAGAATTCAAATAGGGTGACGCCTAAAAGATCCACAAGTACGTATCTTCAAGCAAGCCAAAGCTTCTATATATAGTATCTCTATCAAAAAAGAGAGCCCGAGTTTCAAAATAGCCAGAACTCCTTGTCTAGCCTATACTGAATAAAAGTTAAACGAACATTAAAACCCAAATACCCCCAAGTACCCTGAGGCCTATTTATACGTGGATACGTTGTTCTGTTTCAATTGGAACATGCTGTCGTACAACATGCGCACTTGATCATCAACATAAGATTGAGATTGAGATTGAGATTGAGATTGAGTAGCAAACTGTTGATATTCAAATGAAAAAGAAGCTGCCGAGACTGAGACTGGACAATCCGTATAACTTGGTTGCAAGGATAGAGAAAGCGGTTCATCATATGCAACATTTATCGGAGGCACGTCGAGAGGATGTTCAAAGCTTTGTTGTTGTTGTTGAACTTGAGATGTAGTAGCAGCAGTAGCAGCACTGGACAATATCGGGTCGTACATATATGGTGGTTGCATGGGATTATTATAGAATGTCGGCTTCTCCTCCATATTTCCATATTGCAGAGGAACTGCATCAATTCCAAACAGGTCATAATCCCAGATAGATGTCGTGCCCTTATAATCCGAAACATTTGATGGAGCGTACTGAATGTTGTTATTGGCCCATGAAGTGCTTGCAGTTGCAGATTGATCCCAGCCACTTTCGCTCATCCCCATTGAACCATAATTAGTAGGGTTCTGATCATCAACCATTGAAAGAAATGGAGGGTCTAGGTTGCTTTGAACCAAGGCCTGCACATTATGTCAAAGAAAAAGGAGCATGTTAATTATTAGCACCAAAATAAGAACACGTGGGTTAGGCCAGTTGACCACATTAGTGAGAATGTATGTTCAAGAAAAAGAGTTAGAGAGAGTTGACAATTAAAGGGCACTCACTCACCATTTGGGGTATATAATCTTGTATTTCAGGTTTCTTTGAATCGATGATCATCATGTCGTGTATCTTGTTGGCAGCTTGAATTTTGGCCTCTAAATTGTTTAAAAGCTCATGCATTTGGTCCAATGAATACTCATTAAGACGATCGTCCCATGTAGGATACTTCTCTTCATAACTCTTGTTGCGTAGTTTCACAATCTCTTTCTTAACTTGCATTGTCTGGGTGGCATAAAAGTCAGCCAAGTTCTGAACTTTCTTGATCTTTGATGAATTGGACTTGTACTTATCAATGATTTCCTTCACCTCTTCAAATTTCTCAGGGAAGGTTTGAGGAGGGGCCAGTTTGCCCTCGGATTTCTTCTCATAAACGATTGTACACACCTTCACATCACAAAGGGTGGTTAACTCAAAAGCTTTCTTAAACAATCCATTCTTTCTCTTTCGAAAAGTAACCTTGCGAGCTTTGTCGTCCCGAATCAGCTCCAAAGCTAGCTTTGTCTTACGTCGACCCATGTCTATGTTCTTGTTCTAAGAAAAAAACAGCAAGATAAGATCATCATGTTAGAACATATTACATGGCCGAGTTCAAACCCCCTCCCCGTACATATTAATATTTGCTAGGTCTATCAAACTAAAAGGCGTTTTCTTTTTAGAACACATACCATAAGCATAACCGATAAGTCTTCGTTCTTATCAGTTAATCAGAATATATCAATGACAGACAAACTAATTCATGAACACAACAATGCGAACATAAATCAACGTATACAGAATAAGAAGTAAGAACACAAGTGTTGAAACTAAATAATGGTGCAAGAAGGAAGAACCTTAGTTTCGATGGTTTCTTCTCACTATGTAGATTTAAATTCAATGCAGATAAAAAAAGAGGGAGGTTTATGGTTCTTTATATTAGGTTTAGATCATGGGATGATGAAAAGAAAGGAGGTTTATGGATATCTCCTTTATACGGAAGGGATTGAGCTCTCCTCGTCTGGTCACGAATAAGGAAACAAAATCATAGTGATTGATTGTTTCTTTTTTCTTTCCAAAAATTTCTTTTACAAATTGATTAATCAGCACACAAAATATTTGGGATGCCCGAAATCCCGATTCTTTCCCATTGTGTATCGGTATTAATTGAGAATAAATTATTATTTTATTTTAAAGCAGGGTAGCACAAGAGGAAACTTATTTTTAATTTCCCAAACCCCTCTCTCCCATCCCATGAGAGAAATCTTTAAAATATATAAAGTACGCGTGAGTCTTTATATGCAAGAAACCAAAAACAAATTTATTTTTATATGCAACCGCCCACGGAGATGTTCGTGTGCTGGTTTTTCTTAGTTTTATTGAACAGACAAAAAGGGAAGAAGAAGAATGCTCGATGTTCTTTCAACATGCATGAGCTGTGTGACATACCGCAGTTCAACCTAAAATCCCAAAAAGAGAGCAAAATAAAAATACACGACACTATAAATTTCTTATGAAGTGATCACTTTAGAAAAAAAAAAAAAAAAGACAAACCACAAGAACAATTGTAATATATATAAATATTATTACATGGGAAAAATGTGAGTTAAGTTGCTTTCCATAAACAATGATACAATTCTCATGCGTGCAGCTTTAATTCCCAGAAATAACAGTTGCCCCCACCCTCCAAGCAACTGAATAGATGTTGGCACTTTGCAATGCTGAACTAGTTTTCAAATGAGTTTCATTCAGCAAAGGCTTCATCATCATATTCCTACTATTGTCACAGTTAGCATGGCGCATCAAAGAGCTGCTGATACGAGAAATGTGCGAATTCTTTGCAGAAGCTCCGCTTTTATGGAATCGGGAATGGAGGCTGTGGGGGAAAAGAGTTGACAAATTTACAATTGTTAGAGCAATACAATGCAAAAGGGAATAACAAATTCAAACAGTAAGATTCATTCATTTATAGGTAGGGAGAAGTGAGGATTTATTGGCAAACAGGGGATCAACAACTGCATTACATGAACGTGGGTGAGATTATGTCAAATCAAATCCAGGTAACTGAATCTCTTTTCATTCTAAGAGTTCCTTCCCTTGACTGCTCGTATCATCAAGTTGGTCAGTTTCATTGGGACAAATGGGATGACACCTTATCCCATTTGTCCAAGTGAAGCCGAGTCTCACTTACACAGGATAGCATTAGAATGAGATCCATCAAAGTTGCAAGAATAAAAACAAACAGAAAGCCATGGTCTACAAATGTATTCTGTACATATAATGTAAAACCAGTGGAGATTAAAGTTAGTACTCTAGATATTTCTAGTATTAGCGAAGCCAAGAATCCACCCTATTAGATTGATTTCAGTGCTACCTTAAAGGTCAAATAATAATGAACATGGAGAGATGAAACATCATTTAAACTAATTTTGCGAGTTTTCAGACTACACTAGAGGGGGTTTTCTGTCCCTAATGATCAATACGAAAAGAAAACAGCCACACCATCAGCACATACAACCACCATCACCAAGGTCCAGAAAACCACCACCCCTTGGCTCTGACATAACCCACAATTGCATGCATGCAGCTTCCTAACCTACCCATACCACATAGTATGAGACTACCACTCTAACCAACACCAACCACCCGCCCGACTTCATTAAAATTATCATCTAGACACTTCCTGCTCCCTTGTGGACACTACCAGCGCATTTTACGGCGATGCCCAACTCTCCTCCCAAACCATCCTTCATGTCAAGTTTTCCAAGAAGGTGATATTTAGAGCAAAGAAATCATAAAATTCCAAGAAAAACATGCAATCATGTAGACAATCAGAAGGGAAGAAAAAAGAAAGATTTACCTCTGCCCTTTGGGGTGATTACATGTACAAGGTCATCCACAGTAACATTGTTCCTCCCTTTTTTCTTTATAAACGCCCTAACATAAAAAAGATACACATGGGTTGAAAGATGTCCAATTAGCAACCTTGATGGTAAACACTTGGTTGAGTGCATATAAACCTTATGTTCAACATATAGAAACAACTTTGCACTATTCAATTTTATAACTCATGGCTGAGGCTATCTTAGCATCCAATTCTATTCGCAAACATCATAACTAGAACACTTAGTTTTTTAATACAACTATATAATCATACACCAATAGCTTAGTTAGCCATTTGGTTCCTTCATTTTCCCATATACTATGCAGCGTTGCCCATTGATAGAGGATTCCATCATGAAGCTGCTGAAATCCCAAAGACAAGATCCCAGGTTACGAAACCATCGAGCCCCTAAAACCATACCGCAATCTCCCAGAGGAAGAACATCGAAATCAGCCTGAATTAGTAGTCTTGTAGAATAACCAGCAACCCTCAGAACCGTCTTGTGCAAGTGAGCTTAGTTTCATTAGCCACCATGAGCTCAAAACAATCTTCCTCAAGTGTATGGCAAAAGAGTCTACGTAAAGTTATGAGTGGTTGCCAAATTGATCACCACTGTAACTGGATTTATTTGATTTTTAATAACAAGGGCCATAGTTTTGTGGCATCATAAATCCAGTGAGGGTGTGCAAAGAGACTTCCAATTGTTCTGCATCTTCAGGTTCCTCATTCATTTCGAGGGTCCCCACAAACATCATAAAATATAACTCCCCCTCGGAATTACTTATCAAATAACGAAATTTATTTTTACTGAATTTCCATACACTCGTTATGAATTGATCACAGAATTGTAATTGATATCGGACAAAAGTCATTTTGCACCATAAACCTCTCCAATCATAACAATGCCATATCATTCTCATTGGTCGTGGTTTAGAAGCAGATGTGGGTCAAGGAGTTTAGGTGTAAAGAAAGTAACTGGGCAATATTGGTGACCTCAAAACAGAAAAAAAGAAAAGAAAAAAAAGTAGTATAATACCTGCAAAGAGCTTTCATTTCATCCTTCCACCCACATTCTATTAGCCTTTCCCTCAGAAGCTCCATTAATCTCTCTTTTTCACCGCTCTCAATCAACTGAAAATTCAACCACCAACCGGAAAACGCTAAGCTAACTCAGCAAACAAAGGAGAAAGGAATAATCTGAGACTTTCAGTAAAAAAGAAAAAAAGAAGATGGAAAAAACAAACCTCGATGTTGATAAGCTCTTGAAGAGTGGGCTCTTTTCCTGGATTCTCCATAACATCCGGCGTCGGCGGACGATTCACCGATTTCCTCCTTTTTTTTTAAGAACAAAAGATGGAGGAAATTCTATTAAAATTCCAGTCTTTTAACACACTATGCAAAAGAAAACATCAAAAGAACATAGCTGACTGTTGTAAACCTTAACATAATATTCATTAAATTAGTTAGCTTAGGTTAGGTTAGGGAATTAACATGGGTTTATCAATGTAAACAAAACCCTAGCTAGCTTAGGTTAGGGAACTAACATGGCTGTATCTATCACGGACCCAGAAATCTACGACTTTGTTCGAACACTCTGCGACTTGAAGAGGAAAGTAGATTGATGACGAAGATCAATTGATGAACATGAAACTGGTAAAACACTGTAATTAAACGACGTCGTCTCCGGTGGTGAAACGGAGTAGGTTAAATTGGGCCGCTTCAGCCCACTCTTTTTTTTAAGACTGTACGGTCCAACTAGATGGCTTGGTTTGGGCCGATATATTTGATCTTTTTGGGCCTTATGAGTTATTGTCCTCTTTGCCCCTACCCGCTACAAAAAAATACCAACTCCGGTCAACTGAAAGCGAAATGGCGCCAAACGGTCACCATAAGAACGGCTGTGGACACAAACGTACAAACGCTTCAGGGCTGGAGGACGCATGTTCGGTCAAATTAGACCTAAGAAGCAGAAAATGGAGTTTAGGCTTTAATATTATACGCCTCTACTGTTACTCTCAGTTCAGAGGCTCTGTCTGTGCGCTTCCATGGCTTCCGTGTCCCTCTCTTCTCTGTGCCTGACGCAGAACCCTAATTCTATCAGTTTTAGCTCCATAGCTTCTGATCATTTGAGGTTTGGTTCACCTACTGTTGAATTCGGCTCCGTCAAGAAGTATCGGAGAGATAGAGCTGTCGTCTGCAGAGCTTCCTCGGTTGTCTTTCGCAACCTCGATGCCGATGACTTTCGGCACCCTCTCGATAAACAGGTGTGATTAGTTGTTTACTCTGTGAAGAATAATATTTTGTATGGTCAGTGGCGTTTGTTTCTCGAGAAAAATAAGAAAATACTGTGAAAACAAAAGCCACAGCTTAACAGCCTAAGTCAGTTGATTCAAGTCCTTATTGACTCACTCTCAGTTTTCCTCTACAGAAAGTAGAAATGTTAACGATGCATAATTCTTGCCGTTGCTAATTAATTTGTATTAGGATTAGCTATTTGCCCGTGTTCGAAAAATCGGCCTAGGCGCTAGGCGGCCGCCTAGGCGGCGTCCTTTTTTTATATTTATAATTTTTCTTTTCCTGACTTTAAAGAAAACCACGCTGCCTCTCTCTCCTCTGAGAGTGACGAGATATTGAGTTTGAGTCCGATACCGAGAGAGTCTTGGAGGGATATGCAGACTGAGAGGCTTAGCCTTTCATTTCAAGTATTTTTCTTTGTAGTACTATTATATGCTTTATGCTTAACTTTTTTTTCCCATGTTTAAAAAAAAAAATCAATTATGGTACTTTATAATTTATATATCCTTTTATTTTGCATGATTTTGGTATAAATTTATAATTTATAAAATAATTCAAATAGAAAAAAAGAAACACCTAGGCCCCGATTACTCCTCTAGGCGCTAGGACCCTGCCTGCGGCCCTCCCACAGCCTAGCGATTTTTCGAACATTGCTATTTGGCAGTTACCTAATGTTTCTTCTATGCACGTAATGCTTTCTACATGGTTGGAATTTTATTTCCGTATTACGCAGAACACGCTGATTTTGAGGGCGATTCCAGGATTGAATGAGCTTGGAAAGATTCTTCTAGGTAATAGGCCTCTAATTTGGTGTACAATTAAACTTGTGTCAAATTGTGTTTGCTAAAGACTTGGGTTTTTTTTCTTTCTGAATTTGTTTTTATGGCTGTTGCAGGATCCGTTGCAGAGCAAGTCATGCTTCTTGAGAATATTGGAACATCCCTTCTTGTTTCTAAAGATCAGGTTAGTTCAGTTTATCATCTCTTGCCAGTGGAAAACTTGTCTTTGGGAAAAGCAAAAAAGAAAAGCTTATGCAATAATTTTGTATTATTTTTGTTTTATCAGCTTTCTGGTCTACATCAATTGATGGTTGAGGCCGCGGAAATCCTCAATATTGATGCTCCTGATCTATATGTTCGTCAAAGTCCTGTACCAAATGCATATACTTTAGCAATAAGTGGTAAAAAGCCATTTGTTGTTGTTCATACTAGCCTTGTGGAGCTTTTGACTCGAGAAGAGTTACAGGTGATCAATTCTCTCAGTCAAGGTTTTCTGCTGATGTTTTTTCTTTTGGAAGTTGGCTTTGATGTTCAACTTCATTCATAAATTAGTTTCATAACTGTTTCTCTCTGGGTTTTTCCCCGCATACAGCATACATATATAATAATTGGACATGGGTGTGTGCTTTAAATACATGCATTATCTAGGGTCTGTAGTAAGATTGGAACATTACCACGTTCTATCTGTCTATCTGTACACGCGTAAACACTCAATACACACACTTAATGTATGTATGTAACCCACACTTGTTAGATCTTGTAGGAGTACTGTCTTCAAATGATGCAGGTTTTAATATCCGCTGTTTAACTTGAAATTAGGCTGTTTTGGCTCATGAGTTGGGTCATCTCAAATGCGACCATGGTGTATGGCTTACATTTGCAAATATTCTTACCCTTGGAGCTTATACCATACCTGGTAAGGTGCCTGATTCTTTTATTCTTAGTTAAGGTAATTTGGTTACTTTGGTTGTATTTGATTGTGTTAATTGAGCGCCATTTGCCTTTATTGTCATAGTCATAGTTGATCCATAATAATTTGCATCCCGCAAGAGTCTTCCTGAAGAGATGCATAGGTATTGTTTTGAATACTTGTGTTATTCATAGGGCTTGGTGGGATGATTGCTCAGAGTTTAGAAGAACAGTTATTTCGTTGGCTTCGAGCAGCAGAGCTAACTTGTGATCGTGCAGCCCTTCTTGTTGCACAAGACCCAAAGGTATACAACCTCATGTAGCTACTTGTTTTCCAATAAACTTGCTGTTTCATATTGGTTATATAGATTTTCTGAGATCTACTTTTATGTGCCCACAAGAGGTGGTCATCTCTGTTCTAATGAAATTAGCTGGGGGCTGCCCTTCTCTGGCTGATCAACTAAATGTGGATGCATTTTTGGAACAAGCTCGCTCCTATGACAAAGCTTCTTCAAGCCCAGTAGGGTGGTATATAAGGTACGTGGCAGCATACGTATAGCACCCTTTGTTTGGTTATGCACATCCTAGGGTTGCCTGTTTTAACTCATGGCTATCCAGAAATGCTCAAACGAGACAACTTTCACATCCTCTGCCCGTTCTACGTGCTCGTGAAATTGATGAATGGTCAAGAAGTCAAGACTACACAACTCTTCTGAAACGTGCAACACAGATCACTGGTGCAAAGAAAGTTTTAAGAACACCAGGAAGATAGTCAAAAACCAAAGCACTGTGAAAAGGTGTCACCTCTTTTCTATGTTTCATTTACAAGTGTACTTGCTTTTCGAAGATGTAGTCTCACAGAATTGTACTCTTTTTATTACGTATAATTTTTCCTCAGGAAACCTGTGCTTATTTTACACAGAAGAAAAATCATTGCTCTTTATCCATGGTCTTATGGAACATAGCTATTTCATGTATCAATTCTATCCTTGTTCTGCTATCATGAATGGGTAGAATAGTTGCTCCTTCCACCAAAAAGAGAGAAGAAAAAAAACATAGGTTGCTAGGTACAATATTAACCATGCATCTTATGCATATTATGCTTTGACTAGACTTCATTTTTGGTTGTTTTATTCACGCTTTCCTTATTGTTTGTTATGATATATGAAGATGCTCATTTTACGTTTCATTTAGGCAGCCCTGCGTCTCACGGCAAAGAGCTACAGAGACAAAGAGGATATGCTAAGAGTTTTTTCTGCTGTAAAAGCCTTGCTGTAACTAAATTCTGCAGATTGAGGATGCACGGGTCGTAACTCGTAAGTTGAGTACTTTGGCTTGTCAATCTTGTGCAAATATAAAAAACGTATAGGTTTTTAAAGTCATGGTGATACGTAGAGAATCAGTTTGTTTATAAATATTGATTCACGCTTTTTCTCCATGTACAACAGAAACTTAATTTGGTAATTACACTGTATATATTGCATTACAAATTTATATTTTGCAGAGTTATTTGGCATGCCTCCACACACACACAAAATGATCAGCAGGCACGCTGTGCTGCATGCATATCCCGAAGTAGTAGTCTAATTTTGACTGGTATGAGAAGTGCTTGCAGCAATTTTTGTACTGAAAATTTGGAATTAAAGCACAAGAAAGCTGAAAACAAGAAAAGAGTGAGAGTTACAAAAAGTTTCGTGTTTGGTTGTAATTCTTAGAGCCGAAATCCCGGAGGCATGATTTGCATGAAGTTGGCTACTGCCCTATAAATACTGTGTCCACATTCAGTTAACACACACAAATCCTTAATTTCTTCGGAGCAAACATGGCCTCCACCATTTCCCACCTTCCAGCATTTTGCTCAACTTTAGTTTTCCTTCTCCTTTTGAACGCGCTCATTCCTTTTCATCGTGTTTCAGCTGGTCCAGGATTGCCTGTTCCCCATCCTCCACATTCAAGCTCAGCATCTGATCATCAAGCAATGCCTGCTTCCAATCCTCTACCTTCAGCCCCATTATTTGATCATCAAGCAATGCCTGCTTCCAATCGTCCACATTCGAGCTCAGCTTCAGATCATCACGCAATGCCTGCTTCGCATCCTCTGCACTCAGGCTCAACTTCAGATCATCAAGCAATGCCTGCTTCTCATTCTCCGCATTCAGGTTCAGCTTCAGATGGCAAAATCACCACAATGGGAACACAGCGGACTCCTATTCTGTGCGAAAGTGAGAAACCTACTCAACAAAAGCCAATGTCTCGGAAGCAGCTAGGGGTTTAATATGGCAGACCATAACATAACAAATAATAATTTTAAGTAAATAATCGACGACATCCACTTGTATTACACACGACATGCAGTTTGATGTCAAAATCATACCCATAAGAACAATATGAACGTTTTTTGTTTGACAATTAACTGATTTTTTCGTGTTAGATTCTCTATCATGATCTACTTGGCATTTATTCTCCACCTGCAAATTATTGGTGGGTCCTAGTTCTTTGGTTGCTTGAAAATGAGATTTGGATCCTCTTTTATGCCTATGTTTGCCTCTACAAATTGACCCAATTAATGTGAAGAAAAAGGTCCAAGCTCGAATACAAAATTACGCCCATTGGATTAGTATGGAAACAGAACGTGCCGATGGTTTTTGAGCAAAAATAAAAAATAAAAAAGAAGAATAAGAAAAGAAAGGTTTTGGACCTCCGGGGCCCAACACAGGACACAGCAAGCGGCAAGCACCAAAGTCCAAACAAACAAGTACACTCACTTGTAGAACGTCACAATTCCCGAAGACCATCATTCCCAGAAAAGGACCATTTGCCACTCGTTAGCCCCAAGGAGCTTAGCTTGCTCCTCCATTTCTGCCGAATCAGAATCAGAATCAGAACCAGAAATCACAACTCTTTCTTCTATCTCACACTGTAAATTTGGAAAAAAACTCATCATCAAGGAAGGTTGAAGAAGAATGCCTGGCGTGAGAGGGCCTTCAGATTACTCGCGGGAGCCACCTCGACATCCCAGCCTCCAAATCAATGCCAAGGCCAGCCTTTTCTTCTTCTTCTTCTTCTGCAATCCAATTCAATTTTATTCAATTTCATTTCTTTGATTCTATATGAAGATATATTCAAAATCAATCAATCAACTGCAGGAACCTTTCAATGCGGAGCCACCGCGTTCAGCTTTGGTTTCGTCGTACGTGACTCCCGTGGATTTCTTCTACAAGAGGAACCACGGTCCTATTCCAGTAGTGGACGACATCCACAGGTCCATATAATCAACCAAAGCTTTCAAATTCTTCATTTCTCTTTTCAGTTTCAGGGATTCTAACTCATTCTGCAACCTCTTTTCCCAAGCAGTTACTCAGTTTACATCTCCGGATCAATAGAAAATCCCAAACACCTCTTCATGAAAGATATCTGGTCACTTCTTGCCACTTTCGTGTGTATCTGTGTGTATATGTATATGTCTATCTATCAGTGTATGTGTATGTATGCTTATTATAATGAAACTGAGTTTTTAAACTGTGCGTTATTAAAATAATAACAGGGCGCTTCCCAAGTATAATGTCACTGCCACTCTACAGGTACGTTATGCTATTTCTTATGCATTTGGGTTTTCACCAATATATGCTTTTGTTAGACTGTGATGGGATTTGGTTGGTATATGTGGGCTACACAGTGTGCAGGTAATAGAAGGACGGCTATGAGCAAAACCCGGACCGTCAAGGGAGTTGGGTGGGATGTTTCTGCTATAGGAAATGGTTCGTTGCTCTTTTGTGAATGAGTTTCGGCCTTCAATCTCTCTCTTTATGTATGAATTAGCACAAACTTTAGAGTTCAACCTATTGTTCTTTATGGATTTCCAACTAGATTTAATATGCATATGTATCTTTGTTATCTATTTTTCTATGAATATAGTGTCAGAGATGTCCTAGCTAATATAAGTACGTAACTGTTATAATTATTTGAATTCATTACAGCTGTATGGGGTGGTGCAAAACTGGCTGATGTTCTTGAACTCGTCGGAATACCCAAGTTGACAGGTGCCACTAAATCAGGTGGAAAACATGTTGAATTTGTAAGCGTTGATAAGTGTAAGGTAAAAACTTGGATATTTACTTACTTTTTCATCTGAAGCCTTTTCTGTTGTTTTGTGGCTTTTTTTTTGTTTGATCAAAAGACTACATAGATTCGCTTTGCAAAAAGAAACTATATACTCATTCTAATTGTTAGAGTAATGACTACAAATTTAGGAGGAAAATGGGGGCCCCTACAAGGCATCAATTCCACTAATTCAGGCCACAAATCCAGAAGCAGATGTTTTACTTGCTTATGAGATGAACGGAAAGGTAAGTTTAGCAGAGTGGATGGTTTGCTTGTCTATCTTAAAGTTCTGTCATTGTGTCATTCAACCACGCTGGTAGTCACATGCTTCTGGTTTGTTGCTAATGTCTCAAATTATTGTTTTGATTTAACTGGTATCTTCGTTCTTCCTCAAAATCGGACCTGGCAGATTGTGAGTTTTGAGTTCCGAAATAAGTTGTCAGCGTTTGTGTTTAATGTTAAATGTGGTTAACTGATCGTGTAGTTCAAAATATTCTCTATAGTTTGTATATGTACCTGTTGCATGTGTGTCTGGCATTTGTTTTTGACATTGTTTCTTTCAGCCTAATAGGCAGTTTTTGGCACATGAAATTCATATATATTAATGTTGGGTTCATATTCTTTGATCATGTCAAAGACTCTTAATCGGGATCATGGGTATCCATTGCGTGCGATTGTCCCGGGTGTTATCGGTGCCCGTTCTGTTAAATGGCTTGACTCTATTAATGTAATTACTGAGGAATGTCAGGTTAGAAATGGATTCTTCAACTGATTCTTTTCGGTTATTCTTTTGTTTGTTTTCTCCTTTCACAGTTTTATGTGATTCAAATTTCCTTCACAATCGTGTAGGGTTTCTTTATGCAAAAAGACTACAAAATGTTTCCTCCTTCGGTGAACTGGGATAACATTAATTGGTCTACCAGGAGGCCACAAATGGATTTTCCAGTCCAGGTATGAACATTTGCTACTCCTGCTAGAATACTTGGTGCTTCTTGTGCTAAATGTTGCGTCTATAAAATTGTGGTAACCATAACCCTTCTTTAGATTATCACAGGTGCAACATTTCCTTAGCCTAGAAAAGGAAACAAAATTCCTACAAATACAAGTTCAGTACTCAGTTTTGTCTTGCAGGTTTTTATATATTCTTAATTGACTAACTTATGTGTTTGCTGATTCACAGTGTGCAATTTGTTCTTTAGAGGATGTGAATGCTGTAAAGCCTGGGAAGGTTAGTTCATAATCATATGGCAATTTCAGTGGATATGTTTATTTTACTTGGGGATTATGGCATGCACAAATATCTCAATTGTTAGCCCCAATCCAACCAGTTCTGTTGCACCATGCATGCCAATGGTCAAAGTCCCCTTAATCAATTGAATAGGCTGGGATTTTCATGTTATTCTGTTTCGTCATGAAGTGACCCCAATGATTATGTAGTTCGTTTCTACCATTCATGGCTTTGCACCCCCCCCTTCCAACCTTTGTTGTCAAATGATGTGAATTTTTTGTTAAGATATGATTCCTTCCCCTTCATTTCTTGATCAGATTCTAGACCATTGATATGCTGCCACAGTAACTGAGATGGTGGGGATTGGTCCCTCAATGATTTATTGGACAATCCTTTTAAAACATACATTGTGCAGGTAAAAATTACAGGGTATGCGGCATCAGGAGGTGGTCGTGGCATCGAGAGAGTAGATGTGTCTGTTGATGGTGGAAAAACCTGGATAGAAGCTTCTAGATATCAGAGGACGGGAATCCCATACATTGCAGAGCACACAAGCAGTGAGAAATGGGCATGGGTGCTTTTCGAGGCCACCGCTGATGTCCAACAGAGCACTGAGATTGTTGCGAAAGCAGTATGTTTAGTTTGTTCTGATAATAGATTATTTACCACGATTAGATTTTGTGAACTAGGAAGCTCATATTGACCATTAATATCTAGTCCTGAAAATCATTAGGATGCATACCATATAAAATAGCCCATATCAGATATTACATAAAGAGCTTACAAGGTTGGCAAAGTTTGGTCTCAAACATTTTATGCTCCATCCAGACTAATGGTTCACCTGGACTATCAACTAGCCCATTTCTGGGAACCATTACCAATCGAAGGGTTTGGCCAGTTTGATCAGTGGTTGGACTGTCAGCCCAGAGACCATTCCCTTTGTGGTCCTTATTTCCAACTAAAAACTAAAAACATATATTTTATGGTGGAGGAATTTGTAATTTTGTACTTGCGTGGGCAGTAGGTGGGATGTCATAAAATAATCGGTATGACCCATGACCTAGTCAGGTTTCAGAGCTCAATGAACTCTCTTTTAAATAATTAGTAGAATCATGGAAGCAGTGTTTAAAAGTATTCCCTTGTGTGATTTAATTATGATATATGGCTCAAGGGTTTTGTTTCCCCACCTATCCCTAGTGCTTCATGCATCATGCATCAGATCCGATGTTTGCTGTCTTTTACTAGTCTACTTGATTAGCTTTTTCCCTTCTTGAGTAAGCTTATGCGCTTGTCTCTAGCTTACAGAATCGTATTTATTCTTAATTATAAATAACCAACATCTGACTATCTTCCATGACATTTTATTATATGCTTAACAAATAAAAAAAGCATATGGATGTAAAGTTTTTTATACACAACAAATATTATCCACATGTTTCAAAGTTTTTCATTATGATTATGCATTTGGTCTCCGAAAATACTACTTTCTTTTTGGCTGAGTTGCAGAATTACTGTGTGAACATAAGAAGCTTTTGATAGACTTGTATGATTTTTTTACTCCAGTTCTATTCACGTGTTTGAACTTGAAAACTTCTTGTCCCTGTCATTTGCTTTGTTTTGTTGACATGTGTTGACTCGAGAGTGTTCACCAAGAGTATTCTAAATGCACTAGTGCTCCTACTGCAGCTGTATCAATGGATCATTGATGTTGAATCTTATTATCATATCTGCAATTTCTTTTTATACAGAACCAACCAGTGAAACAAATTATGTTCATATCCTTGCCGATAGTAGGCACTTTCTCATGTTCCTCTGTTTCATTGATGGGCAGGTGGATTCAGCAGCAAATGTCCAACCTGAAAAAGTGGAAGACATTTGGAACTTGAGAGGGATACTGAACACTTCATGGCATCGCGTGCAGGTTCAAGTTGGTCACTCGAATTTGTAGACCAAACACGAGAAAGGAAATAATTGATCCATCCGAGGCTGCTGCTTTCTTGTGTGCAACATTGACAGACCTTATGCTTTCCATGTGCCAAGTAATAAAAATGCTTTTAGCATGCACTTCTTGATGTTTGGACCTG